AGGGTATCCTTCAGCAATTCAGTTCATTTACTCTTGAGCAAAATGGAGTTGCTAAAAGAAAAAATAAGAGTCTAATAAGGATGGTATATTGTATGCATAGAGGTATGGAGATACCAAAATCTTATTGGTATTTTGTTATTTTGACTTCTACCTTTTTGTTCAATCATACACCGAGTTGTGTTCTTCAGCATATGGCTCCTTATATGTCTTATTCCCCGAGAAGACACTTTTTTTAGTCCCCCTTCTTGTTTTTGGCTGCACATGTTTTGTTCAGGACAGGTCTTCTACTCGTCATAAGTTTGATGATAAAGCGATTCGTTGTCTTTGTGGGCTGTTGTCATTAGTCTAGGGGGTATCGGTGTTATGATCCTTTCAGGCGTTGTATATATCACAGTGTAGATGTTATCTTTATTGAGTATATTTCTTATTTTTCTTCCAGTCCTGTGTCTGCCCCTCTAGTTGATGATACTCCTTTTGATTTTCCCTTACGACAAGACCCAGAGCCATTGGTCACTGTTACTATAGAGTTACCAATCTCTCCTCCTCTAGAACCACTCGTCCATGTCACTACAGAGTCACCAGTCTCACCTCCTTTACAGGTCTATGTTCGTCGCCCTCGTTCTCATCTCCTGCTGATGTCCCCTCTACATCAAGCGATGCAGGTAATATTTTCCTGTTCATTGAGCATATTGATGCACCTGTTGTTAGAACTGATCAGATTGTAGGTAGTGAGTCAGTTACTTCACTTAATGAGATATTGTCAGTGGAAGATGTTGATTTAGGGCATCGTTATCCGCAACGTGATCGTCGTCTAGCTGTTCATTATGGTTGGACCGCCAAGACTTTATATTCGACCTCTGGTTATGTTTCTTATGGTTATTTGTCTGCTACATTTCGAGCTTATAGTATGACTTTATCAGATACGTCAGTTCTTCGCTCCATTTTTTAGGCNGACTTTATATTCGACCTCTGGTTATGTTTCTTATGGTTATTTGTCTGCTACATTTCGAGCTTATAGTATGACTTTATCAGATACGTCAGTTCTTCGCTCCATTTTTTAGGCTATGTGGGAGCCCCAATGGATTCTTGCTATACAGATAGAGATGAACACTTTTTAGCATAATCATATATGGGATCTTGTCTCTTTACCTTCCGGAGTGAAGTTTGTTAGTTGTCGTTGGGTTTATACCCTAAAGTTTCTCACGGATGGTACTATTAATCGTCACAAGGCTAGGCTTGTGGCGAAGAGTTTTACTTAAGTACAGGTTGTAATTTTGGTGCTACGTTTGCCCCCGCGGCAAAATTGACTATCGTTTGGTTGCTAATTTCTCTAACTGCGGAGTACTCTTGGTCTCTTCACCAGTTGGATGTGAAGAATGTATTTTTTCACGGTGATCTGGACAAGACCATTTATATGGATGTACCATCGGACTTTTGTGGTGCGGGAAAGTATGCTGGAAAGGTGTGTCGGCTGCGTAAGTCTTTTTATGGACTGAAATAGTCACCATGAGCTTGGTTATCTCGCTTTAGTGGTGTAGTTTTACGTTTAGGGTTCACCAAATGTTCTTCTGATCATACATGCTTAATTGACGAAATACTTTTAGGCAGTGTGTCATCCTTTTGGTGTATATGGATGATATTATTATTACTAGGATGATTTTTAGGACTGCACAGGTCAAGGTAGACCTTTGATGTGAAGGACCTTGGATTTTTGCTATGTTTTCTTGGGATTGAGATTGTCAGTAGCAATAGAAATATTGTTCTTTCTTAAAGGAAGTATATTTTGAATCTTTTCTCGAACACTAGGATGTTGGGGTGCAAACTGGCATCATCACCTATGATTCCAAACTTGAAGCTCACTGTTGAAGGCAAGGATTAGAATTTTATTGCCGTCACCATGAAAACGGAAATGTTTTGACCCATTTTGAAAATAGAATGAAAAAAATAAAAAAATTAAGAATTATTTTTTCAAAAACATTGATCGAAATATATTAAAATATCTTGAAATATCTTGAAACGTTCTGAAATAATTATGTGGATGCATTGAAATATAAAAAAATATTTCGAAACATTATAGAACACCTTGAAATATTAAAATTTTGATTCCATCACTGATTCGTTTCGGTCTCCTTTACAACGAAAATTTTTTGGATGTTTCAATTATTTTGAAACGATATTTTGATCCTTAGCTGAAAGTGAGGAGTTGAGAGATCCAACTATGTATCAGAGATTGGATGGTAGACTTATCTATTTGGCCAACACTAGGCTAGACTTTTTATTTGTTGTTAGTCGAGTCAATCAGTTCATGTACAGGCTGTGTCAGCCTTATCTTGATCCAGTTTATCATATTCTTCGGTACCTCAAGCCTTGTCCTGGACTTAGATTAGTCTATACATCAGGATCTCAAACTGGCTCTCTAGCCTATTATTCAGATTCAGATTAAGGGGGAACGTGTGACGGTTGATCTACTACGAACTTCTGTACTTTTTAAGAGACTTATCTTATCTCTTAGAAGTGCAAGAAGCAAACAGTTGTCTATAGCTCGTTAGCAGAGGTAGAGTATCGAGCACTAATACTTGGCACGTGTGAGATTATCTGGTTACATTCGATTCATGGCGAGTTGGAATTTCCAATGACATCTCTATCCACATTATATTGTGATGATCGATTTACTATTCTGCTCGCTTCTAACTTTGTACTACACTAGAGGATAAGACAAATAGAAATCAATGTTAACTTCCTTCGGGAGAAGATTAGTTATGGTATTGTCATTCCATTGTTTGTGGGGACAGTGATTAGGTTGCGGATGTTGTCACCAAACCTGTCACTCTATCTATTCTTCGAGACTTCGTTGTCAAGCGTTACTTAGTTGACATTTTTGTGCCTAGTTTGAGGGGAAGTGTTGGAGTTATAGTTTAATTTATTAAGTTTTTTTTTCCTTTTGTACCCTTACTATGACTTCGGGACTCTGGATGCAATGCCTCCCCTTTTTTATCTGGCTGCCCAATCAGGTTTACACACTGTGGATCATACCTCACGTTATCCTCAGCGCTCTTGTANGTTATAGTTTAATTTATTAAGTTTTTTTTTCCTTTTGTACCCTTACTATGACTTCGGGACTCCGGATGCAATGCCTCCCCTTTTTCATCTGGCTGCTCAATCAGGTTTACACACTGTGGATCATACCTCACGCTATCCTCAGCGCTCTTGCAAATATCCAGACAAGTTTGGTTGGAGTAATACTTGTTATTCTTCTAACTTTGTTCTTTTTTTACTTCTATTTATTCTCTATCTAAACCCACCTCCTACAAGGAGGTTTTACTTGATCCACTTTGAAAATAGACTATGGATGAGGAGTTGTCCGCCTTACATAAGACCAGAGCTTTGGAGCTAGTGCCTTTACCGCCCGGTAAATGCACCATTGGTTGTAAGTGGATTTATAAGATAAAAATCAAGTCGGATGGTTCTGTGGAATGATATAAAGCTCGATTAGTAGCCAAGGGGTTTGTTCAGGAATATGGTTTAGACTACGATGAGACTTTTGCCATTGTTGTCAAGATGACTACTGTTCGCACCGTGATTGTAGTTGTTGCCATTCGACAATGGAGTTTGTCTCAAATGGATGTGAAAAATGTATTTTTTCATGGAGATTTAACTGAAGAGGTTTTTATGACACCTTCCCTTGGATTGTCTTATAATTTTGATCAAGTATATCGACTTCATCGTGCCTTATATGGTCTTAAATAGGCTCTCGGGACATGGTTTGTCAAATTTTCTTCGGTTATCTGTGACTTGGGTTTTCGCGCCAGTGACCATGATTCTGCTTTCTTTTTACAGTTTACTTTCTCCGGCTGTATTTTTTTTTTATTATATGTTGATGATATCATTATTACATGTGATAACACTGCTGGTATATGCTTATTGAAAACTCAGTTACGGGATCATTTTGAGCTAAAGGATTTGGGACAGTTCAGGTATTTCTTAGGCATTGATTTTGCCTCCTCTCCTAAAGGCTATCTTCTCTCTCAATTCAAGTATGTCTTTGACATTTTGCACTGAGCTTGCTTATCAGATAATCGAACAGTTGAAACACCTTTAGAGCTCAATGTTCGCTACTCTTCGTTTTATGGTACTCCCTTGTCTGACACAACCCTCTATGGCACTATTGTTGAGAGTTTAGTATATCTTAGAGTCACTCGTCCGGATATCTCTTATATTGTTCACATTGTGAGTCAGTTTGTTGCCTCACCACCACCATTCACTAGGCCGTTGCTCTTTGCATTCTTTGGTATCTCTGTGGTACTCTACATCAAAGTTTACTATTTTCTCATTCTTCATTTATGGAACTTAGGGCTTACTCTGATGTTGACTGGGCTGGTGACTCTATGGATCGCAAGTCTACCATTAGTTTCTGCCTTTTTCTTGGAGATTATATTATTTTTTGAAAAAGTAAGAAACAAACTGTTGTTGCTCATTCTTCTGTTGAAGATGAGTTCGTGCTATGACATCTACTACAGCTGAGATACTCTGGTTACGATGGCTCCTTATTGATCTTGGCATTTCGATATCTTCTCCAACTCCTATGTTCTGTGACAATACCGGTGCTATTCAGATTGCTCATAACTTGGTCTTCCATGAGCACACAAAGCACATTGAGATTGATTGTTACTTTGTGCGCCATCATCTGCAGCAAAGCACCATCACTCTCCCCTTTCTTCCTTTCACAATACAGATAGTGAATTTTTTTACGAAATCTCACACCATAGCACATTTTCGATTTCTTCTTGGCAAACTCTTGATGTTTTTCGCCGCATCATGAGTTTGAGAGGGGGTGTTAAGAGTATTAGTACTAAAGGTNAATTCAAATTGTGTCACCTGAGAATAGAACTCAGATCGATAACAATCTACACTTTGAATTGAATTGAGTAATTGAACACGAATTTCCTAATTTGGGTTTGATAAGAAAATCCAAGATTCCAATCCAAATAATGTCTAAATTCAAAACCCCGGAAGGGTGTTTTAGTCAATTGAGGAGAGTCATCATCTACCGACTTACGAAACCAATTTCTGATAGGAAGGAGAGAGGGAGAGAGGGAGTTTCTATCTCTGGTCTGGTGTTTTTGGCTGCTGCGTGAGAAAAATCGACAGAAAATAATGGTCTGCGAGAAGTGTAAGTTCTTCTTCCTCTAACTATTTTGTGATTTGTAGATTTGGGTATATACAATTCAGCATTGATTTTTTAGGGTTTTTGTTTTGGTGAATTGTTACAGGTGAGAAGAAGCTGTCGAAGGTGATTGTACCCGACAAATGGAAAGAAGGTGCCAGCAACACCACCGAAGGCGGTGGCCGCAAGATCAACGAGAACAAGCTCCTCTCCAAGAAACAGAGGTCTGTAATTATTTTCTCTCTTTCCCTCCCCATCTACCACTGTGTGTGCGTAATTATATCCTAATTTATGTATAAAATTGCGGTGTTCTATGGATTTGAGATGTGGGGAATTTTGAATTTCGGTGTTAGGTTGCGAACTTAACAATGGGTAAAACCTAGGGCGTGTTTCAAGGAAATCCAAACTTAATAGTATTGAATTTAACTAATTACGTTCTTTTCCAAATTCTTTGTTGGTTTTTAGGTGATGTATATTGTGGAGTGGGGCTGTAAAATTTATTTTTTGTTTGCTTGCTTTCTTTTCAGTTTGTTCTTGCATCGCCATGTCTTTGTTGTGTTCGCCTATGAAATTCTGCTGTGATTTGTGTGCTCCAATTTGTTAGTCACTTTCAATATTTTGTTGAATACTTGTTTTCTTTGTTTGATTCCTGTGATCTGCTGTTGATGTTGTGAAAATAGTAAAATATTGTGTGTTTAATTCTGTGCATGTCTTTCAGAAAAAATATATGAAATCCCATTACAGTAGAATNTGCTCCAATTTGTTAGTCACTTTCAATATTTTGTTGAATACTTGTTTTCTTTGTTTGATTCCTGTGATCTGCTGTTGATGTTGTGAAAATAGTAAAATATTGTGTGTTTAATTCTGTGCATGTCTTTCAGAAAAAATATATGAAATCCCATTACAGTAGAATTCTTGTTGATAAGTTTTCGTCCACTCCTTCAAAGGGTAGGCCTTTTTGGGGGCTTATGCGTGACATTGACCTTAGTGTTCTTCCTGGTTCCTAAGATTTGCTGTTGATGTTGGGTAAATTGTAAAATTGTGTGTTTGATTATGTGCATATACGTCTTTCATAAAAAATATTAGTTTTTTACATTTTATTTTGAGCACATTCTACACATTGATTATGCAAATGATGTATTACAAAATTCATTACGTTGCAGATGGACGCCTTACGGAACAACCAAGTGCATTATCTGCAAGCAGCAAGTACATCAAGATGGCAAGTATTGCCACACCTGTGCTTACAGTAAAGGTAGTATGTGATACTTAAAAGCTAATGTGTACTTGTTAATTGGCAATTTGAGACATGCTTTTGATTGGCAATACGTTCTGGGTATGAACTTCTTTGTATTTGTGCAGGAGTATGTGCAATGTGCGGAAAACAAGTACTTGACACCAAGTTCTACAAACAAAGCAATGTATGATGGAAACAAGCTGTTGGCTACCTATTTGTTCTTTCATCTGCTAATGTCTTGACCAGTTCCCTTACATTCTCTGGTCTCTATCTTTCACTATGACACTCGTATTAAAACTTTTGTTCTGTATGTGTATGCCTGGTCGGCTGTTTGGGTATATATTGTGATCATTGGGAATGCAGTAGTCATAGCTATTCGTAGCTTTTGTTTGATCATGTTTTTAATGAAAGATATATAATTCACCATTGCAATTTCTCTTGTGCTCTGCTGCCTTTCCATTTGTGCTTTAACAGTATCATAGAATGGAGCGTTTTCTAATTTCCTGGAACGAATTTGATTAGATGATAGCCTGGCTAATATCTTGTGAATATGTTATTGTGTTACATGTAGTTTGTGCAAGGTTGAGGACCAGTTTTAAAGCAAGACACTTTATCAGTCTTTTGCTTCCCGCTGGATTTGAGGATGTGTTGGGGTTTGAGAGAGGGAAGATGTTTTGGGTTTGAGGGCGACAAATGCAAGAACGTAGAGAGAAGGATTTGTGGGTTTGAGGGGCAGGACAAGTAAACGAAAACTGAAGAGAGAGAGAGAGAGAGAGAGAAACCTGTGCAAGAACCGAGAGAGAGATTCTGTCATTGTGGTGGGTGGTGTGATCGGTGTTGGCATCCTTGAGACAAAGATTTGTGCGATGTGTGGTGTTTGTGCGTCACATGGAGGCTAGGGTTTGAGATATAGAGAGGATTAAGTTGGGCTAAAAGGAGAAAGGTGTCACATGGAGTTGGGGTTTTGATTCTTCGTCTTGGATCAGTCAGCACACACAGGGGAGAGAGAGAGAAAGAG